CAGCTATGAATTCACAGAGGGCCCAGCTTTAGTACCTGAACGAGAGAGTAATGTCAAATGACAGTACAATTGACCAATCATATCTTCCCTCTAAATGGGTGGGTGTTATTATCGCGGACTTTATGACAAGTTCTGCCCGCTGTGAAACTTTTCTTGTTTCCATAACAACAAATTCCTGTCAACAGCGTTAACTCCCCTTCAAAATAAAAGCATGCCAAATTACACTTAAGACATATAACTGCAACGAAAGTAACAAACACAATGCAATATCCTTTTCAATTTCAAAGAACACAAATACGGTTATTTACAGGTGTTGTTTTCTGTGGTAGAGGGTCGCTTTCGTTGATGCGTTTTGCACCCCGGGCCGTTGTTTTGATATTCCGCTGAAGTAGCTATACGCTGTGACGTAATAACTCGAGGGAAGGGGTGGGGGTCAGAGGGCCTAGGTATAAAAGTTACGGCTCGTTACTGGGCAGATTTGCATAAACGGGATTTGATTGGCTGACGCCTCCATCGAGGCGGCAAAAGTAGAACATTGCTCTACTTTTGCAGCGAGCACCGCGAGTTGAAGCGGCAACGCACGCCGCAGTGTGTAGGGGCCGTATAGTGACACTACTCCGTTATCGACAAAAGTAATATTATTACAGTAACGCGTTACACCCAACTCTGTATGTGAACTACTATCTGTACTGCCCTGTATCTCACTCTGTTGCTGCTTTAACATCTGAATTGACCTACAGGGATCAATAAAGGTCCATATTGATCTTGAAAACTTAATAAATATATACTTTAATATCAATGAAAGTCATAATGTGATATGTTTGTGTGTAGCAATTATTTCTTACACCAAAACAAAACATGTTTAATTATATAACAATAAACTCATGATGTTTTAACTTGATATTGATTCACTTTTTGAATTTGCTGTGCCAGCAGTATGCTTCTGTGCCTGACAGACAGAGTGAAGTAACGGAGCAGCTGTGGTTGATACTCACCTGAGTGACCAGCTGTGAGGAGGGACTGAGGGGCCGCCTCCCTGGGGTCCGCTCCGTTGATGTACTGACTCAGCTCGTAGCTGCTGGAGGATAGGCCGGAGTGTTTGGAGCTCTCTAACGTCCCCTGGTAATAGGAGGAAAGCTCTTCGTTGTCTCTGGAGGGATTGTTATCCTCGTAGTCATTGAGGTGATGCTGGGGGTTTTCTCTGCCGTGGTCATATCTGAGAGAATGCAACAATATATTTTATTTATATAGAAATATTCAGCTTGCTACTGATGCTACAACACATCATTATTCAGCCTCAAGTCATGAGATACTGTATGCGCGTTTACTAAACTTTAAAGCAGCTCTGTCTTCCCAGGATACAACCTCTTATGCACACAGATACATTAAGATTACAGATTACATTTCACAAAGAAGCTTATGTTAAGAGGAGCAACTGTAACTGTAACATCCTTAACTCTGGTATCTGTCAGATCTCGCTGTCAAAATAAAACACAATACCCGCATTAGAGCTATCTTACCCTGTTGGGTTCACATTGATTTGAATCCTATTGCTATCTCCAACATGTTGCTGATTTGTTGACTTCTTGTATGCATGTACCCCTCGGCAGGTTATGATTCCTAACTCTTCTCTCAGGAATACTTCACCCACAAAATGATTATGTGTGTGTATAAATATCTGATTCTTTGATAACCTTGAATTCTTTGAGAAAAGAAACATGCCTCCACGGTGGCAACAAAGAATCCCAAAACTGGGAATATTTATGATGAATTGAAGTGAACATTTAACAACAGTAAAACTATACCACACATCTCACACAACTCTTAAGTGAAAAGCCAGGGGTTTGGTAAGTGTAATGAGCATTCAATAATGTTTTTTAACAGATTTTTATATGAGTTGCTATTGTTAGACAGCCTTCATTTACTTTAATCCATTAAGATATTTTTCAGTTTTTGGACTCTTCAAGGCATGCGAGAAATACAATTCTGCAAGAATTAGAGGTAACATGGGTTGAGTAATTCATAAAAAAATGATCATTTAGGGGTGAAAACTACCTTTAACCCTCCTATTGTCTTCGTTCCCCCCCCTTACTTTGTTGTTCGCGGTCAAATTTGACCGGTCCTGTTTTAACTGCTATTACATCAACACAAAACATTAATCACTCATCCAAATTTCCTTTAACAACCCTTTCAAACTGTACATATTGTATCAGACTACTGGTATACATGAAAAACTGCAGTAAATAATACAAAAAATAGACACTGAACATGTATTGCGTGTGCCAGGTGTGATCCACGTGGGGGATGGGCACATAAGAGCGTGTGTGTGTGTGTGTGTGTGTGTGTGTGTGTGTGTGTGTGTGTGTGTGTGTGTGTGTGTGTGTGTGTGTGTGTGTGTGTGTGTGTGTGTGTGTGTGTGTGTGTTTGTGTGGGTGGGTGGGTGTTTGTGTGTGTGTGTTATCTGATCCGGATGGTTACTAATTCCTTTTCTTTATGGTGGTCACTTTTGACCGGGAACACCATGGGTGTTACAAAGTTGACTAAATCATCCAAAATGCAATGAAAGTGGTGATCAGCGATTTCAAATTTTCAAATGTCTACTGTGAAGGATATCATAAAGCCTTAATGCAATCGAATGTAAAACAAAAAAGTTATGATTGATTAATGAATCGGTCATTTGACCCGAACACAACAGGAGGGCTAAGTATTCCAATAACATCAGTATTCAAAATTAAAGTATAAACAGAACGTTTGTTCAGTGTTTTTTTTTTTTTATACTAATAACAAAGCAATTTTTATACAAAACATTAAAGTAACAAAATGCATAAATTGCATCACCTGAGTATACTTTTCTTTGTGGTGCGAAAACAATCCAGCAAACGCTGCAAAACATCTGCACTGTTTTCAAACTGAGAATGGATCATGTTTCTACTGACAGTCATAAATCAATAAAGGGTTGACTTCAGATCTGAGACTCACATGTGCTCCTCGCTGTAGGCGCTCCCTGAGGGTTCCTGCTTGTTTGTTCTGTCTTGAGAAGGGCCCGTTCTCCAGGGGTCTTGGGGCCCCCACTGTCCAGCATCTAAATGAGAAGACACATGTATCATCTTAAGTTTCACCAGGGCACAGAGTGTAGCAGATCAAAGTTTTGTCGTCTTCTGTACCTTGTGGTCCCTGCTGTCCTCTGTAGTAGTCCTGCTCATAGTAACCATAGTGATCTCTGTAGTCCCAGTGGCCATGGGGGGGGTAGTCATACCCATGCCTGAAAATAAAATGAACTCTAGTTCAGTCAGTGCACTCATTCACTTTCTTCATGTAAAGAATCTGGTGCTGAAAACATTATTATATTTAGAGCATCATCCTTCTTCATTGAACCATTCTTGGGGTGACAGGCGTATCCCAGCATGCACTGAGCACAAACCCCATTGCCTTTATCACCAGAACTATGTCCCCAAATTGATGCTTCATACTTATAGTTTGTGTTTGTATTATATTGCATGCATGCATACAATGAATTGATTATTAAAGGGATAGTTCAGATTGTCTGAGGTAGTTCAAGTTGTATGAGGTAGTTATTCTGATTTAGTGTATGGCCTACAGTCGCTGTCGGTTTGGAGAAACAAACAGCAGCACAGAAGCTAAGCAATGTACAGCTATGGACAGGGGTAGAAAAAGACATACTTCAGACACAAACACAGCTGAAATTGATATGCGGCTCTCTTCAAAGATACCAGACTTCATTGACAACACCTTCCAGAACACAAATGTTGGTCAGTCAATGTATTTGTTTTATTGTGTGACTTGGTTGAATCCAAAGTAAGCTCGGTATCTTAAACCCATTTAACCCCAAAAGAAAGCCCAGTAATCAGCTTCAGTTCTGAAAGGGCTGTCTGACAATCTGGTAGAGTGCTGGCAATGTTCTACAAATAGCGTACACTTTGACTGATGTTGATTTTTTTTAGGTTGTCAAAAATAAGTAGCAGTAAAATACTTCTGTCTGTTTCTCCAAACCGGGGGTGTGCACAAGCCCCCAGGAATTGCACTGGGCTCTTAAGCCAATGTATGTAATGGCAAAACAATGTACTACAACTTCAGTGTCAGGTTGTGATGTCATTGGGACCAAAAATACTTTTTACTATGGATTTACATTGGGAAAGAGATGTCTGTAAATCAGTGGATATTTATTTTTGTAGCTGCATTAACTTCCCTGTACTAACACTTGAATAAGCCTTATTTAAATCCTTACTGTAGGTCCTAAAAGTTGTAAAATGCGCCACTTTCATAGGAATGAACAGGCAACGCCTCCAACGCTCTATCCAGTTCTCTTTATACATCCTTGGACATGCCAACAGCTATCTACTGTAGTAAAAAACTGACTATTGATAAGAAGGCAACCTCATACAACCCCACTTCCAACAATCCAAACTATTTCTTTAACGTCTTCCTAGTAGCAGTCACTTTTGCACAATCTTTAATAAGGGAAAGTCTATATCAATCAAAACTTTTCCCCCAGTTTCAGAGAGGTCCACTGTCACTGTACTCACCTGGACTGGGCTCTCTGGTGTTCCGGAAGAGTGTAGCCATAAGGATACTGCTGGTTGTTGTGAGGATACGGCTCCGCTCTGGCAGGAGGGCTGCTGAACTGAGCCCTGTAGCGGGGGTCCTGAGCCCAGTGCCGGTCCCTCTCTCTGGGGAGGGGGGCTGGGGTGTGGCTCTGCTCCCTGTCCTGCTGAGGGTACCTGTAATCCTCTCTGTCTTTGGATCTTTGGGAGTGACGGCCAGAGTCATTCCGGGGGGGACCTCTGTGATCCATGAGGACCCCCTCCTCACAGGATCAGCCTAAGAATGAGGGAAATAATGGGAGGTGGAGGAAATCCTGAATTTGAAAGTTGAATCCACAAAAGGTTATGTTTTCAGCTCACACATGCCAGATGCAGTCAAAGTACAGAAGCTACTGCCACATCATTTGACTGAAACTCACAATATGGGCTGATAACATGTGAGCATGATAACAAGAGGATAAAGGTCACACATTACCGTGAGCCAGAGGTGGGAAGTAACTAAGTGCATTTACTCAAGTACAATTTTGAGCTACTTGTACTTTACTTGAGTTCTTCCATTTTATGCTACTTTGCAGTACTTCTACTCCACTACATTTAAAAGGGAAATAATGTAATTTTACTCCACTACATTTATTTAACAGCTTCAGCTACTTTTAACAAAAGGCATCTCTAAAAATGTAACAAGTGGACTAGCTCTTTAAGTCAAAAAAGAGTCAGATTATTCAAATATTTTACAAAAAGTCAATCAGAAATTTGTTTGTTTACAACAGTAAAGTGCTACTTGATGCAACAATATAATCTATAAATCTCACATATATAAATTTCACTATGTAGACACAAGGCAATTTTTCTGCACAATGATTTATTTTATGTTTTATACTTTAAGTACATTTTGCTGGCTGTTGTACTTTTAAGCAATATTTTTGAAAGCAAGACTACTTGTAATGAAATATTTTGACATAATGTATTGGAACTTTTACTCAACTAAAGCATCTGAATACTTCTGTCACCTCTGCCGTGAGCCATCAACACTGTTACTACACAGGAGCCAGTGCGAAAAAGTATAAAGTATCCCAACCACATGAATAAAACACGTACCTTTCAAAACACAAGCACAGCACTCAAAGAAAGGGTGTGCAGAACGCTTCATGTCCTTACAGTAAACACGGGATCCCGCCCTGAGCAGGCTGACAGCTGACGACTGCTGGAGAGGAGATCACGTCCATGTTTAGGATCACTGAGACAGAAAACACATCCTTGTTTCTGCTTTATTTCCACATGACTAACGGATCCTCGGATAGTAGGTACTAGGTGTCATGTGGGAAAGGGAAACTTTGCAGAGCTGAGTGCTGCCACGTTGCCGGTAGAAGATGCAGCGGTGAGTCGGTGTTAGATGGAGCTGCTCTCCGGTCAGTTTTAGGGGTTTTTTCGTCAGTGGAGCAAGATGGAACTGATTCCAAGTCAGCGGGGACAACTTGGAGGTCGAAGTGTTGTGACCTACTTATCCACCAGAGGCGCTGTTCCTCATCATCAGAGGGATGGAAACTCACTGTAGCATACCGTAGCATACATAATGTGTATGTTGACCAGTGTAACCGTAGGACAGACAGAGATAAATAAATCTATTATACATTTTAGCAATAACATGTTGTTGTCCCAAGAGATAAATTCTAAAGTTCATATGTGAAGTAATATATCAAATGTAAATTCGCAAAAATAAAAATACGACACCTGGATAAGCTAAAACAATAACCTTTAGTTACTATTACTTTGCAGATTTAAATATAACTCCACTAAAATGTGCGCTCTTCCTCTTGCTCCTCCTCTCCCAGTGCTTTGAAAATCTTATTTTTAAGACAATCCAACAATGTTTATATGCATTTTAAAAACAAGATAATGCAAGTTAATTAAAAATAAGAAAAATATAAACTTGTGTGATTTCAAATACAGGACTAAAATATGAACATAAATGAAATGTAAAATGAAGTGATAGTCTATTTGTGTTAGACAATACTACAAATGTATTAACGGCCTGTAAACAGGAACACAGAACATGTGTATGCATTATGAAAAATAAATAAATATATAGGCTATATTTAATAAACAGTTTGGCCAGTCAGCAAATTACCTGAAAAACTGCAATATGTTCTACTTTTTTTAAATCAGTTAAAAATTACTTCTAATTTCCCCTTTTTTGATGACTTATCTTAGTATTTGTTGGTCCTATGAAGGCACTATAATTGCTATATTGCCTTTATCGCATACGCGAAGGCAGAATACAAATTTAAATGACTGTTATTTCGTGATTAACTGGAACGTGGTTCCTACATCTGGGTGTGATTTCCGAACACAGCCATAGGGTGTCGCTATATTCCCTAACACGGAGGTGAAAATGAAATCAGAGTTGCACGTGACCGATGGGACGGTGTTATGCAAATGAGCACCGGGCAGCGCTGTGAGTGCTGGAAGCATCGCTCTTCCCGGCACACATATGTATGTACACGGTGAGACTCTCCGCTCACAGAAGCACTCTATCTCCGCTCTGGATATTTTACCACACCAAACCGCTCGGATGTGCAATATGACTTTTGAAGAAACCGGTGGAGATAATTCTTCAGATAGGTAAGCTCGTGTTGCTTTGCACCTTTTTTGCATTTCTCTTCGTTTTTTGACTTGGTACTAACTTGTCTTTGATGTGAACTTCCGTTTTTAACACTATGCAAATACCTTTAACTGACTGAGTTTACCCTCATGCAGTCAGTTGTGGCTGACATTTAGCCACATGTTGTCTCATATTCAGTATTGGTTGCTGGTAATACAAGAGCAACGGTCACTAAACGTGCTAAGTTAAGCTATAGCACCTTTGGCATTAACCTAAGTAATTATGCTAACGTTAGCGCACGTTCACTTATGTTGTTTTAGCTTGCGTCAACACTACGTGCTCAGTAATTCAGAGTCAAACTTGTATGACGCAGATATGTTCACATTGTAAAGTCTTAACACCTTTCAGTGTGTACACATGGATAGCTTGGACAAACCTTAAAGTCTTATTATTCCTTTCTTTTGTAATGTGTAAGACCTCAGCTGCAGGTATTTGGTGGAGGTTTCCAGGGTCTTCCCCCTAGAACATTTTTTAAAATTAAAATATGCAATTGTACATGTTTTTCGCTAACTTTTATTAACATATCTGTTTACTAAAAGCTTGCAGAAAAGCGTTGCTCCACACATTCACAGGTGGTGGTGCCCTTAAGGCTCTCTTGAATGGAAGGGAAACCCTGATGTTGCGTTGACTGTGTTTTATGTGTTTGCTGGCTGATATCTTTTAATAAGTACACATAATGTCTATTTCCTTAGGATGGAAACGGTGGCTATAGCATTAGAGGAGGTCCTGAGCTCTGCATTGCCTCAGGGTTGCATCACTGCTGGAGTCTATGAGGCAGCAAAGTCACTAAATGCGTAAGTTAACAAAAATGGAATGCTGCAGCTTCCCCTCTGCTAACTCTTCTTCTTTAAACCTGAGCTGTATATCCTTTTCCTGACAACTCTGCCTTGCCTTTGTCTCGTGCAGAGATCCAGACAATGTGGTGTTGTGTCTGCTGGCCACAGACGACGAGGAGGATGTGGCGCTCCAGATTCACTTCACCTTGATCCAGGCATTCTGCTGCGAGAATGACATCAACATCCTGCGGGTGAGCAACATGAGGCGCCTGGCAGAAATCCTGGGAGGAGTGAAGCCTGGAGGGGAGCCCATGGACCTGCACTGTGTCCTAGTTACTGTAAGTGTTATTACTCACATCTGTTTACTGTAGTACTACATGTTGCTCACTTCCATTCAGACTGGAAACAGGGTTGTTTTGCCCTGAGCCTGTTTTAAGATCATTGCTAACACTTGTAAGGAACTGTTTCTAGCAGTAGTTGTGCAGTCTGTTTTAACATTTAATGTGCTTTCTCCTGCAGAATCCCCAGTCGTCCCTGTGGAAGGACCCTGCGCTGAGCAAAGTGACCAGATTCTGCAGAGAGAGCCGCTGTTTGGACCAGTGGGTGCCTGTTATCAACCTGCCGGACCGATGAAACCCGCTGTGGAATATGAATGTATTGTGTGCATTGGGGGAAAAGTAACTGCACAGGGCCTGTGTTGATGTCTGTGTTGGAAAGAGAACCAGAGAGAGGCGGGAGGGGCAGGAAAAAAAAGAACTCACGTCAGCCAAACGTTCCAACTAATTTCTCGGGTCATGGTGAACTCGTGGGCCAAGGAGGAGTGACTCAGCAGTCTGCGTTCCAGGATTTCCAACGTATGACTGCGCCTTTCTCTGCCGAGAAAGAAGCCTTTACAGGAAGCTGAGCCGTGTGAGCTGACAGGCACACGTGGTGGGGAGCACAAACGCAGGACTGGGGGGGGCAGACGCAGAGCCTCAGTTGACAAGACTGCAAGAACTGGAGCAGTCAGAGCGCTCGGAACCAGGAATTCCTCATGAAAATTTGACCAAATCCACGCATTTGTTTTACAGCACATTTATTTAATAGTATTTAAGACGTGTCACTTTGATCACTCTAAAGGGAAAGTTTTCACACTTTATTATTAATATTATTATTTTAAGGGCAATGCAATGTTCCCACTTTTCCACTAACTGATGTTTTTACGTGTTATTAATTTAATGAATTATATTTATTGTTCATGGAATTCTGCCTTGTTACTTTGAATGAAATAAACAAACAAGCAACAGTTGACAGGGTGGTTCTGCCTCCATGATTTCCAGGTACTTGTAGGAAGTTGCACAGTGTCCTGAGGAGCAGTGAACGCCTCTGGAACACATTGAGCTCAGCATGTTGCACCACAGTTTGGATTTCGCCCCGGCTTGTCACTGTACAGGTTAGAGTATAAACTCAACTTCATGCAGCAGCACCAGTGAAAACAACATAAATATCTGGGTTTTTTGGGATAGTCCTTCAAAATGAAACTCAACTTTTTTATTTTTGTATGTTGTCAAATATTTTATTAACAAGTTAAAATAGTAATCTTTCCTGCTCGTAATCTGCTACAGACAGTGGTGGAAGAAGTACTTCAATCTTATTTTTTACTAAAAGGTTGCAATACCAGAGTACAGGAACATACTCTGTTAGTAGCTAGTAAATACTACATTCAAGATGTTGCTAAAGTACATTAGTCTTAGATATACTGAACTTTAAGTAACAAAAGTAACATTTCAACAGTATGACCCATTTCAGTGTTTCATGTGTTATGTTAGTCACTTCAGTGTTACAGCTCGCTTGTAATATTACATCATATTTTATTTATTGATTATATTTGTATTGTTGATCTAAATTTGCAAAATAACTTATGTAAGAGGTAACAAAATAACTATTGTTCTCAGAAATGTAGAAGTATAAATGAACAAAAAGTGAAACAAAATGGTACTTGAGCAAACTTAATAACTTTACAGACATGAAACGGACTTTGCTCCTACATGGGAACTCCAGTAAAATGTGACCTTTTGCTCATACGGAGAATGGGACTTATCGTGACGGCTCCTTCTGTACAACCTCCTGCAGCTACGCATCAGAGCTACATTTACTGCTGAGTGGGCTAAAAATAGCAGAGAGGAAAGACAGACAAAAATAAACCACGTTAAAGACTCATTTCAGACTGCAAAAAGAGACAACCAGAAATAATTGGTGCTTGCGTAATGGGGAGGGACAAAGCCTCTGCACACAGAGGGTCCCAGCACAATGGGGGCATGAGTCAGGGCTATTCAGGTGTCCATTGCTAGAGCTGTACAGTGCTTTAGCTTCATGGCAGAAAATAGCTCTGTGAATAGAGGCGTTCCCCTGACCACTCTCACAGACAATAGTAACACTTGTAATTAACAGGCAGCGTGCACACAGTGCTGCAGGGAGGCTGAGACTGCCAAGGCACACNGGGGCTAATGTTACAAACGTATTAGAAGTAAATTATACATAGGGTACCAAAAGTACTTAGCATAATGGCCCATTTCAGAATCATGAAATATCTGGATTATGATCACTAATGTGTTTATCACAACGGTTAGAGGTGGAGCTAATTTTAATTACTTTATATACTGCTGCTGGATATCTTAACCTTAAATATGTCAATGTTTATTTATTATTTATTATTGATTTATATTTTGTATAAACTGGCGCATTGTTGAATTTAACTGAATTAAATTGGCGCACCTCTTCAATCTGGCTTTTAATGTGTGATTGTTTTTGTATTATTTGACTTTAACTTGAACAATATATTTATTTGTTGTTCCTTTCTTTTCTTTTCACTATATCTGTAAAGCGTCTTTGAGCACCTGTAAAAGCGCTAACAAAATAAATCTATTATTATTATTATTATTTATTATTGTTGGAGGAGCCCGTGACTTCAGTGTTTCATTGCCATAGCTACTGTAGCTGCTGAGCACATGACAATGGAACTTTGAAACTTGAATCGGAATCTGCAAAGTAAGTAAATCTGTCGTTTAAAAGCAAGATTAAAAGATACTTAGGTAAAGTACCTCAATATTGTAGTATCAAATATACTTTTTTTTTAAATTAACTTCTTAGTCCTGGGGCAGATGGGGAGGGAGGTCCAGGAGTGACTGGGAGACTGGAGGAGAGTGGGGGGGTTTGACATAGTGGCTGCAGAGATTGCGTTAAATGATCTGAAGTTAAAGGGAGCAGTCAAATGTAATAGAATGTTCACAGAGCAGAAACATGCAGATCTACACTCCACTGAACTGATGTCAGCCTCTTCTAGGTGAAATACAAGTACATTTACTGAAATACTTTACTTAGGTTCTTGTAATTTATTTGAATATTTCCACTTCTGCAACTTTACCCCGTATCAGAGGACAACATGTTCTTTTCATTAGTCCGACAGCTTTAAATACTTTTCAGATAACAATCCTTCATACCTTTCCTGTCCAGTGTAAACCCCACATCTCCATACATGGTAAGGATTTGTATTTAAATGTTGCTGATTAACTGATGGGTAAAGTTTTCTCTGAGTAGCTACTGCCGTCTTAATGCAGTATCATGCAGCACATTAAAGCAGCAGTAATATTAAACCATCATATATAATATGATGGAGGAAATAATTACATATTTTACTTAAAGGTGGGGTATGTAATTTATTTCAGAAACATTTTTTGTTATATGCTCTTAACATCCCGATAGCAATGAATATATTAAATGCTTTGACAATAAATACACAACAAAATGTTATCTGTGGAAGCCGTGGCGCTGTAAAAAGCACGGCCAATCATTTTAGCCGGCCCGACTAAAATAACTGGATGGCCTACCTGCCTGTCAGCCTTCCATCTGTGCACAAACTTATCTCGTGCCCTCATTGGTCATGTGCGCGTTCGTGTGTTGGAGGAGGGGCTCTGTAAGGAAGTGGCAGATATTTTTCGGCTGCGTGCTTTCAAATTCTAGCGCACTCGAGCTGGTTTCTCCAAAATGACATACCCCACCTTTAAGTCATAAACTGTAAGTAAGTATAATCATCAGAGTAAACTTTAAGTACCAATAGAAGAAGTTTTCAGTTTTAATGTTGATACACCGTTTACATCACAATGTAAATAGTTACATTATTTAGCTTAAAGAGCAACTTCCAGGTTAAAGACACCTGTGAATAAATGTGTAGGAAAATGATGAATACACTAGATTTTCAAAAAAATATACAGAAATATACACTACAGTGACATCTGGCGTCGTTTTTGTAAGAAATGTTCACTTCCGCATAAAAAAGCCTCGGCACGTGACCTCCCGTGTGTGACGTAACACGGGGGACACAAGGGGGAGAGCGGCCGGTGTAACGTATTAATAAACATGGATCCCAATGCTAGTTTCGACACAGAAGAAGTTGAACATGAATATTCGAATGCATATGACGGACCACAACCTTATAATTTTGAGCCTGCTAGGCGTCCAAGAGACCAGGAGCACCCAAGGATTAGAAGAAATAACGGCCATCGGAGAGAAATTGAGCTTTGGTGTGAGGAGAACCAGTGGAGAACTGGGCAGCTATCTTGGTGAGTGACCGGCGTTAGCTACAGAATGTTAGCTATCGTCACATCACAACATTGTAAAGTTAGCTATCATATATCAGGCTATAATTAAAGTAGCATTGATAATATAGTAACGTTACTGGCAGGACTGTTGATACTGATCCATAACAGAAACTAATGCGCAAGTATCAGCCGTATCTCACGTTA